AAGAAGGAAATATCTGAAAGAAGCTTTCAAAAAGTTTGCCACAAAGATAAAAGTTTGACTGCAGCAAAAGCTAATATTTAGAGAGAAATTTCATCCAGGGAGCTCAGTGGATGAATTGTGATTTCCTCCACTGACTGTGGGTATCAAGTGCTGGTCATCAAGGTTCAATCTAAGACCCATTGGGAGTGGATAGTTCCTTAAAAACACATTGGAAGAGCGTCAGTAAGCAGCTGTGTAAACAGAGATGGACCACTGGAATGCAGGATCCTTGAGTTTCATGGTTACAATTCTTTCTCTAGAATTATCTGGCCCAAAATGCCTATAGTGCCTCTAGAGTCTCAACCTTCCTAATGCCGCGACCCCTTAATACAGTTCCTCATGTTATGGTGACCCCCAACCATAAAATTATTTTCGTTGCTACTCTATAACTGTAATTTTGCTACTGTTATGAATCGTAATGTAAATATCTTTTTGTTTTCCGGTGGTCTTAGGCGACCCCTGTGAAAGGGTCATTCGACCCCCAAAGGGGTCATCACCCACAGGTTGAGAACTGCTGCTCTAGATTCTAGGTACATCTCCAACTAATGGTAAACATCTAGGGTTCTGCCTACTGAGAGAGGGAAATGAGTATACAACTCATAGTCAAAGCTCCCAAGCAATATTCTGCATTTAGAATGACCTCTCAGACCCCCATTTTACCTGCCTTTTATTCTCTTCCTTCTGCCTCCAAGCCCTCCAGAGTCCATTTATTTTGTCAGCTCTTCACAGCGAGAGACCAAGGAACTGCCTTTCATCATTTATTCCATTAATGTGTTTTGAGCAGTTACTACCTAGCGGGGAGGCAAAGGACACCCATTCCTTGCCTTTCAGACGCTCTGCTTAGAGTCTAGTTGAGAAGATAGAAAAGCTCAACTAAAGGTTTGTAATAAAAAATGTGAATCTGCAATAGATTTAAGCATAGGCTTCTTGAAAGCACAGCAAGGCACAGGGACCTTGCATAGAGCTGGGGACTCCTGGGAGAGTCCTTGAAAGGTTGGGGACAGAACTAAGTGATCTAGGTGAATAGCAGCAGGTAGCTGGGCAACCTGAGACTCACAAAAAGTTAAATTTATCACTGGTAGATAAATGCAATGTATGAAGCTTGATTGGATCTTGATTTGGAAAACAACGAAGTAAAATACATTTTGGGGACAATTGGAAAAATGCGAATATAAAGAGTATTAGGCAATATTAGAAGGTTGTTTTTAATTTATAATTATGAAGGAGGTTGTTCTAATTTTTAGGAGATACATACACCTGAAATGTATTTAGCAAATGGTTTAGCAACAGAAAGAGGAGGAGAGGTGGGGGAAGACAAAGAGGGACAAAAAGAATGGATGTAGAGTGATAAATGAAGCAAATGTGACAATATGTTAACAATTGTTGAACTGGATCTTGATGTTCATTATCACTAATTTTTCTACTTTTTTGAATTTTTGAAACTTTTCACAAAAAAATACTTGAAAAACAATTACCTTGGGAGGCATTTGGTTGCATACACGCCAACACGACTCAAAATTCAGAGGGTGCTTTCATTTTGGGATTTCAAGTAGAAAATAAATGCTCTGCCCAGATAAACATTAGACTGCAGAGAAGCACTGAGTGAGGGGAGAATGGCCATGCTGCAGCTGGGAGCCAGTCAAGCTTGGCTGTGTCTGGCTGCTCAAATGGATACAGGGATGTGGTTGCTGGGGTGGGTGAGGAAGGCGCTTAGAGCTCATAAGGTCTTGTGCATGTCAGGCTGAAACGTTTGGGCTTTATCCTGAAGAAGTCAGAGACACTTAAGAGTGGAAGGCATTTTATGGCTCATCCTGGTTTCAGTCTGAAGGATGGATCAGAGTTCAAAAGGTATGGCGCTAAGAGATCACTCCAGAGACAATAGCAATAATTCCATCAGAAATAAAGGCCAAATGCTGGGGAGATTGCAGGGCAACAGAAATTTTCATTCGTTGCTGGTTGGAATGCAAAATGGTACATCCACTTTGGAGGACAGTTTGGCAGCCTTTCACAAAGTGAAATATACACATGCTATACAACCCAGCTCCCCACTCTAGTTATTTACTTGAGAAAAATGAAAACACAAGTCCACACAGAGAACTTTATAGAAACATTTATGACAGTTGTATTCATAATTACCAAAAATTGGAAGCATGAAGTGGTAAAGGATAAACTGTATATTTATAAATGCAGTAAAAAAGGAACAAACTATTGATACTACAAACTATTAATACTACATGGATAAATCTGAAAAGCCTATGTTAAGTGAAAGAAGCCAAACTACATACTGTATTATTCCATTGGTATGACGTTCTGAAACAGACAAACCTATTGGTGTAGAAATCAGGTCAGTGGTTAGCAGGGGCTGGGGTTGGGGGAGGAGTTGACTACAAAGGGGTACATAGAATTTTCTGGGATGATGGAAATACTTTATACAATATTTGTTGTGGTGGTGGTTATAGACCAGTATACATTTGTCAAAGCTACACCTTCAAAGAGTGAATTTTACTGTATAGAAAATTTACCTCTGTATACTTCAATTCAAAAAAAAGGGGGGAAGAAAAATAATAGTGGTACTTAGGACTTACTGGATAGAGAATAGAGGAAAGAAAAGTGAAAGATGTTTTGATGATCAAGAAAACAGACATACTAGTAAAAGAAGTGGAAATGTCAGAGGATAGTACCTGATACAGTCAGCTAACTGCTGCAAGGATGAAATGCTGAATCAAGTTATATCTAGGAGTAATTCAGAATGTACTAAACTATTTTCATTTACTTTTATGATATTACTTTAGAGGCCAATATGGCACAAGTATAAGAAAAATGTTAACTTTTAAGAGTGTATAATGGCTTGGATTTTTCTGGATAAATACCTAAGAGTGGAATTGCTGGGTCATAAGGTAGTTCCATTTCCAGTTTTTTGAGATACCTCCATACTGATTTCCATA